ACGTCGCCGCCGCAGTTCAATACCAACATCGTGGATGACGCTAGCGAGAGAGAGAAACGGATGGAAACAGTGCTTTGGCCTGCACGACAAGTGAATACAGGCCATCTAAGTATTTAAGTAAGTATTTGTTTGAAATGGAGTTAAATGTAAAGTTATGTTGTCCTAATTCGTTTGAAGGATTCTTTAAACAACTTTTCAGTTGATTTATTTGCCACAGCTTATATTTGCTAAGCTGCTGTCAAGTGAATTAGTGTTGTGCACTAAGAACGTCTTTCCACTAAGGATGCTTGATGTAGTGGGCAACTGAGTAAGCGATATGTATCATTCTTTCATTGATATCATAATAGACACGAGTTTATTACAAAAGTTAGGACAATTCGACAACTACACGTATTTTTAAGCATTGAAATGATGATAACTAAATTAATCCTTAACAACGACAAGCCGTATATGTCCGCTCTTGTGGGAAAAGCTACACGTTATAGTACGGGGACGCAGCTGAAGTTTGCAATTCCACTTGAGAGATCTTGTAACGGACTTTCTTCAGCCAGTCGGAAAGAGGAGGTGGCGACAACGAGGGCTGATTCTCGCATGAGTCGAGTTTGATCCTAAACGGGAGCAATTCCTTACTTGAGAGCATCCACTCAAGATGATTCGAAACATTCAGTTTTGGTTATTTTCATGATGTTTTTCTCAGACTATTCAGATGATAACTATGCTAACCTCAACTGATTAGGGATTTGACTGTGGTAGGCAGTGAGAATCGGCGCCCACATGGGATAGAGTTGACATAACAAAGCGGAGTTCACTTGCTGCAGCGCTTGAATTGTATTGAGGAAATGGAGGTTTACCATGTCAGCCAACTGAAAATCGGGCAGTCATATAACATATAAAGTATGAATTCACTTGTTCTTCTCATGGGAAGGCAACTATCAAAACCTACCACTTTTGAATGGCTTAGCAGCTGAAGTATGGCTGGAGTGACTCTTGCCCAGAAGTCTAGTAGATGTGGGAATGCTGTGGTAGAACTAGAAAATTTGAGTTTTTATTTTCAAAAAGAGACGAAGATTTCTAATATTGATGGCATGTAATTTTGTAAAGGTCCTACTTTTTTATTTGAAATAATCTTTATTTTCTTTATTCGTTGGTAATTCAATATGTCAAAAAATCGAGTGAAACATCATCTTAAAACCTCATAGGCGAAATAAAATATTCGTTTCTCATTTTCACCAGTGGACGCAGTGGAACTAACCTTACCTGAAAACCGCCGCTCTTTCGCAGTAGACAGTCCATAGTTGACAAAGATGAAAAGCATGGAAAAGCGCTGACATATGGACAACCGATTGCTGCAAAATGAAATAGAATAAGGTTCAAATGAGTTCTTTTGAAAAAGCATTAAGCAACCTTTGACTGATCAGCAAAACCAGCGAGGACGAAGTGGATGTAGTCGGCCATATGTTGGCTACACTCTATTGGAACCGGCAAACATCCATGATTTGCATGAAGAGCTCCGAGTAGTAGCCACGAAAGCACCCGCACATTAGTCACAGAATCAGCAAATGCTCCCGGAGCTGCCTAATTGAGAATATTCCTTTGTTTCGCTAAAAAAAAACTTTCGAACTTCAAACAAAGCATACTTGGGTTACACTTGGTGGGCTCATAAGCCACGGAATAAATCGAATAACTGTTCGACAATCGCGAGTATTCGATCTGCTCATTTCTACCGCTATTGCTTCAGCCAGCTTTACTTTCAGATCTCCGCCAATAGCATCAGAGTTTGTCTCTTTCTGCAATAAGAGTAGTGCAATGATAGGACAATGCTTTATGGAAATGCATTCAGAAACATAGGAGTTGAAACCTTTAATTTTGCCAGAACATGGAGATCTGCAATAAAATCGAGAATTTCAAAGAGGAAAGGTCGCACAGCTTCAGAAGCGGCGGTGTTAAACTGATCGTCCGCCAAATTCATTTCGATATCTGAAAGCATTTGATGAGAAACGTCCCAGAGCGACTGATTATTAATCTTGGCATGTGACTCGTCCATGATACCTCAATTTAGCCTACAACCAAGATTGATAAAAACATTTACTGATTTACCGTCGCCATGAGCAACTATACCAAACCCACCTTTAAACCACATTTAAAGTAATAAAGTAAATGGATTGTCAAAACTGTCCAAACGTAAATCAGTAAGCGTTTTCATCAACCTTATTGTAGGCTAATTTAAGGTATCATCTTATAAGAAAGTTTTAATTTCGGACTAAAATAGCTCACCCTCTCCCGCATCCTGGAGAATCAAGTTGGCAATCGTCATAAAATTTGCCTCGTGCATTGGGCATTTGAACTTGATTGCCTGGATCAATTCTGCAACCACCGCACGTGAGATACTTTGTTTATCCCTCTCCTAGAATGATTTTTTAGTATCGAAAGGAATTAAAACTAGTTCAATTCTTAAAGACTAACTCTGATTAAAGCTCGATTACAGGCTGTACAAACAGTAAGTAGGCTCTCCAACTTTACCGGGCAACCATGGAATGCTTCGGCTAGCCATTTGCAGAAAGAATCTACCAGTGAGACTGCGGACTGAAGCGAATGTCTTGAGGTGACGATTTCCGTTGTATAAACTTTGTATTTGTCGTATTATTTCGGATTTTCGAATGTATCAGGAAAGGAAGAAGTTAATCTTATACCATTTCGACTCATTCAACTAACTTATTTCTATAAAGACCAGAATGGAAACTGACGCAAAGATACTCGCTTGAGTTGTAAATTAATAGATAAGTCGATCAGAAGAAACATCCAAGCTTGCTTGAAGCGGCGCAAAGCTTTTAAGTTTTTGAAATCGTTTACCTTGAATGCACTGAAGTTCTGGACCTTCAGTACATGGCTCATGACAATAATACCACTCTCGAGCTCTGATCGTGTTGGTTTCGCGGCGCCTTCGGCTGAAATCTGAAATAGTGCATCTTTATGTAAATCTACAAAAGCATACTTTCGTTCTCGTAAAGATAGAAGTTTCTAAAAGAAAAACAAATGCGCTGGAGAATTTCAAAGTAAGATGAGAACTTACTGTCTATGGGCGCAGATAAAACAAAATTCTTCTATTTTCTTAAAAAGCTTGCTTCACCCACCTGAGTATGGTACCTCCTGAAAAATGTCTCCATGTGGGCGATAGCTGTACTCCAGTGATTAATGTAAGCGTCGTATGGCACCTCGACAACATATGCAGCCAAGTTCCTCATGGTGGTAGTGAGCTGAGGTAGCCAGTTTTCGGCAAGATCCTAAAAGAACTCCGCTATTGCTACTTCGGTAAATAAAAAGTATGAAAATAAACAAACTTCGAAGAGCAGTTGAATGAAGTAGACAGGAGAGAGCTCTTGGAAGTCAGCCAACGAGAGAGACACCACCTTCCAAAAAGAGTCGGTTCGAGATATTGGAGTGTCAAATAATTGGAGGCATATGCCAGATGAAGACAGCTAGGAAACAACTTTGGATTTCCATGAGACCGCTCTAGAAAGGATAAGCTACCTGATGCAAAGTAACTCTTAGCATCTGTTTAGCGACACTACGGCAGTTTCCTGGCACGAACATTTCCGTGTCATGCCACGGGTAGATGGGATGGTCAATTAGGCTTAAACAAATGTTTTTTCCAATAAGATTGTGATCTTCATTACTTTCCAAATTACCGAGTTACAGTATGCAGTAGAGAAAATAGGATGGGTGCAGCCATCACAGGCTCACGGTGTAGGAACGTCTCCACAGCGATGAGACAAAGAGAGATAGTCTCTTCATCGAAGGATGTCAAGCACTCGTTGCAGTGATCACAGCGGAGTTCCACACTTAAAATGCTGTTTGGAAATCCAAAAAACCAAGACTTCAAGAGTAGGTTTCGAGTTACTAGTATTTCTATTCTTACGGTACACTTGGCTTCTGTTGCTTGCGAGGTTCTTTACGCCTTACGGCCTCACTACGCTTGCGCATAGGACGTGGCTCTACGATGGTGGGATGCAGTGTTACTTCACCCTCATGTTCCTAAGTTCCAGCGAATTAATTTGATAAAAGAAAAAGGTTCCAAAACTTATTTTAGAGAATTACTTGAATAGTAGTGACGGTAAGACTCTCCGGCCGAATCAGGCCTCTAGGCGATTCGTCCGACTCCTCATCA